CATGTGGAGCATGTTTCACCCCCTGGCACCATGGCACCCAGCACAGACCTTCCTGATGCTCCAGAGCCTGGCACAGATCCCTGCCTTTTGCTTTATTGTTCTATTCATTGATATGAGGCTTTATTAGCCTTAGCAAAATAGAGTTTGTGTCCATGCATTCCTATGATTTATAATTACTTTCTAGGATATATCTTGTGGTTGGTTTTTTACTTTAGACAGTGACTTCATCCTTGTGCTCTGATAATTTCCTTCCCTGCCTGGCTTTTGTCCATTTTACCCAAAAATCTCAGAGAAAAAAAAAGCCAAGAGGAAATTCTCCTTCTAAGCAGCACCGAGCCCTGAGCAGAAGTGGGAGGATGGGGTGACAGCCCAGCTGAGCAACCAACTGGAGCAGTGAATGGATTTGGAGTTTTTTTAAAAGCAAGTCCAGAGTGCTCTTGTTCTTCGCTCCACTTGGCCCTGGCATGTGGAGCATGTTTCACCCCCTGGCACCATGGCACCCAGCACAGACCTTCCTGATGCTCCAGAGCCTGGCACAGATCCCTGCCTTTTGCTTTATTGTTCTATTCATTGATATGAGGCTTTATTAGCCTTAGCAAAATAGAGTTTGTGTCCATGCATTCCTATGATTTATAATTACTTTCTAGGATATATCTTGTGGTTGGTTTTTTACTTTAGACAGTGACTTCATCCTTGTGCTCTGATAATTTCCTTCCCTGCCTGGCTTTTGTCCATTTTACCCAAAAATCTCAGAGAAAAAAAAAGCCAAGAGGAAATTCTCCTTCTAAGCAGCACCGAGCCCTGAGCAGAAGTGGGAGGATGGGGTGACAGCCCAGCTGAGCAACCAACTGGAGCAGTGAATGGATTTGGGCATTCCCAGGACCTGGGGGGAACACAACGACCCCACCAGTACCACACTGTGAAGTGTTTTATGTGATGAGTAACAGGTATCAGCACTAAAACAGCCCTTGTAAATGTTCTGTGCTGAGGTTTTAAACAGTTCTGTAATCCAGCTGCTACCAGATTTGGAGTATTGCGTGTATTTTCAAACACTTTGGTTTCTTCTCCGCTCCCAGGGAAGTTTTGGAACACGAGGCAGTGAAAACAAGAGTAGGTGCTATGAAAGCTTAACTTCATGTGAAAAGGAATTTCCTCAGGCCCTGCAGGCATGGGTTGGCACGGGGAGCCACAGCAGCCCCAGGATGAGCTCTGGCCCTTTCAGCTGCTCCCTCCCAGCCTCTGCTGCAGGATCTCAGGCCATGCCCTGGGCCATCACACAGATCTGGGAGCAGAGGAGAGCCCCAGCCCCAGGAGAGGTCAGGGCAATCCCACCCGTGAACCACTGCCACTAACGAAGGCACCCAAAATGAGTCAGTCCTTGCCTTTGTGTGGCCAAGGCACACAGGGATTAATTCACTAGTTTCTCTGGTGAGAAAGGACTTCTGCAGTAAAGCCAAAGGGTTTAGAGAAATCGTTCCTAAATGCAGCAATATTTTATAAATTTCTTGTATGTGTATTACCCAGACCGAGAGGGAAACATCCAGTTTAAGAAACTGGGAGGTCTCCAGTTGAGTGGTTTTATTCCTCAGTGTAATCCTCTATTTCACATCATGCCATGGACAATTAGCACCAGTGTTTTCACTGGGGTTCCCACCAGAGCAGGCAAAGAGCACAGACAATGGGCAGACCCCTGTCCTCTCCTCTGTGGTGCTCCCACCTCCTCCACAGGCAGATCTGACTTCTTCCAGCACGTGCTGCTCTCCCTTCAGCTGAGCCTTCTCCCCTTGGGTTGCTTTTCTGTCTTCTATGGAAACTGGAAATCAGATCTCAAGATGTACTTCTTACTGGTTTGGGTAGGAAGGGACCTTAAAGCCCATCCAGTGTCACCTCTGCCACGGGCAGGGACACCTTCCACTGTCCCAGGCTGCTCCAAGCCCTGTCCAACCTGGCCTGGGACACTGTCAGTGAAGCCACAGCTTCTCTGGGCACCCTGTGTCAGAGCCTCCCCACCCTCACAGCTGGGAATTCCTTCCCAATATCCCATCCAGCCCTGCCCTCTGGCAGGGGGGAGCCATTCCCCCATCCTATCCCCCGAGCTCCCTCCCCACCAGGGCACAGCAGCTCCAGCCGTGTCTGCCCTCCGCAGCCCCCCCAGCCCCACGCCAGCCCGGCTGCTGGGGAAGGCCAGAGGAGTTCACCTGGTCACTGCAGGTGACCACAGCCCTGCCACTCGGTGCTGTGAGCTGTCCCAGACCCGACACAAGTGTTGGAGCCTGTGAACCCACACCAAACACAGCGCGGCTTCTCCAGGCCCCAGCGCCTCTGTCTGTGCAGGAGCACGGAGCTGGAGGTGTCTGCAGCTTCAGGCCACCGCAGGAGGAGCAACAGGAATGCCAAATATTCCAGTTCTCTGGACATCCAAGCCCAAATAAGGCCCAGATGCCAGGAGAGCAAATGTAAGGCTGATCGACCAAGTTTGGGCAAACGTGATTCAGAGTTCCCCAATGCTGCAGATTTTGCCTTGTAGGATAAAATTCCTAATTCTGTGTTCACTTATTCCTGTTTAAAGAGGAATCTGTGGAACCTCTATCCATCTCTGTCAGCCCCAACTGCTTGTTTGTGGGGAACTGTACATTTGAGAAGTTCAGCTGTGAACCAAAACCAGTTTCATGGGTCAGCAAGTCATATAACTACCAAAAAACCCAACAAATTCCCCAAAATGCAATCACCATTTCCTGACAGGCTTGTTTACAAAAAAGATGGACACCTTGGAGATCTGTGTTACACCTTCCATGGAAGGAGATGGAATGCCCCCACATAATCTGTGTTTGTCATGGATAACCAGGTGCAATAACACATCAAAACTCAATTAAACACTGTCCTACAGCAACAATTGCTACAGAAGTGACATTTATTGACGTTCTGCTGTATTTACAGGTTGAACATAGTAAAACTCCAAAGTGAATGACCACTTGGCAGAAAGCACAGGAGTGCACATTGAATCTACATTTCCAACGCATCAGAGTCTCTGCTAACACAAATTATAAAAGCAAGAATTACAGGTATGTTAGGAATTGTCTCAAAAGTCCCAAGCCAAAGAAAAAAAAAAGGCCTTTGTTTTGCAAGATGGTTTTTATACAAAGTTGCAACATGATCTTTTAGTTTTACACTACAGACTTGTTCAGTGAAAACCCCTGGAGAGCCCAAAAAGTTGGTGGTGCGAAAGGAAAGGATACTACAACACCGAGAATAAAGACTGTTAAAAGTTAATACTTGTGCCACCTTTAAATTCCCAATGACACCTCGGAGTCTGGACTGCAGTGACCCCTTTTCCTCCACAGGCCCCTGGGTGCTGGGGGACTGCAGGAGCACAGCCACACCCTGCTGTCACCTGAGCCCTGGAGTCACCCCTGTGCTGCCAGACAGGACACGGGGGACTGGGATGGACTGGGAGGGACAGGACATGGAGGACAGGGATGGACTGGGATGGACAGACAGGACACGGGGGACTGGGATGGACTGGGATGGACAGGACACGGGGGACTGGGATGGACTGGGATGGACAGACAGGACACGGGGGACTGGGATGGACTGGGAGGGACAGGACATGGAGGACTGGGATGGACTGGGATGGACAGACAGGACATGGGGGACTGGGATGGACTGGGAGGGACAGGACATGGAGGACAGGGATGGACTGGGATGGACAGGACATGGAGGACAGGGATGGACTGGGATGGACTGGGAGGGACAGGACACGGGGGACTGGGATGGACTGGGAGGGACAGGACATGGAGGACAGGGATGGACTGGGATGGACAGACAGGACACGGGGGACTGGGATGGACTGGGAGGGACAGGACATGGAGGACAGGGATGGACTGGAATGGACTGGGAGGGACAGGACACGGGGGACTGGGATGGACTGGGATGGACAGACAGGACACAGGGGACTGGGATGGTGGACAGGGATGGACAGGACATGGAGGACAGGGATGGACTGGGATGGACAGGACATGATGCGCATGGAGCACAGGAGATGGACAGGACAGGACACGGAGTAGAAGGATGGACAGGACATGATGCACATGGAGCACACAGGATGGACAGGACACAGAGCACAGGGATGGACAGGGACAGGACATGATGCACATGGACAGGACACAGAGCACAGGGATGGACAGGGACAGGACATGATGCACATGGACAGGACACAGAGCACATGCAGCTCCGTGGGCTGTACAGGACACCATGCACACAGGCTGTGCAGGATGTGGCACGTGGAGACTGTACAGGACATGCACTTCCATGGGCTGTACAGGACACAGGGCACACACTGCACAGCACAGGGTGTCACACACAGTCCAGGATGGGGTGTCACACACTGTGCAGGACACAGTGTCACACACTGTGCAGGACAAGGTGTCACATACAGGACAGTGTCACACTGCCCAGCCCAGGGTGTCACACACACAGGACACAGTGTCACACACTGCACAGCACAGGGGGTCACACACAGTCCAGGATGGGGTGTCACACACTGCACAGGACAGGGTGTCACACACAGGACACAGTGTCACACTGCCCAGCACAGGGTGTCACACACAGTGTCACACTCACAGGGTGTCACACACAGGACAGTGTCACACTCACAGGGTGTCACACAGTGTCACACTCACAGGGTGTCACACAGTGTCACACTCACAGGGTGTCACACAGTGTCACACTCACAGGGTGTCACACAGTGTCACACTCACAGGGTGTCACACAGTGTCACACTCACAGGGTGTCACACAGTGTCACACTCACAGGGTGTCACACAGTGTCACACTCACAGGGTGTCACACAGTGTCACACTCACAGGGTGTCACACAGTGTCACACTCACAGGGTGTCACACAGTGTCACACTCACAGGGTGTCACACAGTGTCACACTCACAGGGTGTCACACAGTGTCACACTCACAGGGTGTCACACAGTGTCACACTCACAGGGTGTCACACAGTGTCACACTCACAGGGTGTCACACAGTGTCACACTCACAGGGTGTCACAGTGTCACTCTGCCCAGCCCAGCAGCTCCCAGGCTGCAGCAGGACAAAGCAAGCCTGGCCCCTGCTGGCCCCTGGGCAGCTCCTGCTGTCCCAGCACCACGAACCCGGGCTGAGCAGCTCCACCCGCAGCCACACACTCACTGCAAGAGCATTAGCCACTAATGAGTCAACAATTACAGAATTCTGCGTTAATTATTAAAATTTTACACCTAAAAACAAACCGAAAGAAATGCTTCTCCTTTTTTTTTTTTTTCTTTTTCCAACAGTACTTTTATTTATTTATTTTAAAGCAGGTGATTATTTTTTCTTCTGCTCCAGAGCCTTGATTCACTTCCTGCAGGTGTCCTGCTGCTTCTTGGGGGGGATTTCACTAATGCAGGAAGACATTTGCCAGAAAACATCTGTTGGAGAAGGATATTGAACACCGAAGCTGCAGTCAGAGGGTTATTTTGGATAACAGGAGGATGTTGTTCACACAGCACAGGATGTCTAAGGGCTTATGAAGTGTCTCAGCACACAATGATGTGACTCCAGCAAAATGCTCAGGAATCTGTGTGTATTTTACAGGATAACACCAGGACTGTGTCCCTTACTGCACACACAGCTGGAGCAGTAAACTCCAGCTTTCCACCAGATTCATTTCATCAGGTTGTATTTTCTGGTTTGCACTCATTATTCCCCTCCTAATTTTCTAAAAATTATCCCCGCTCTGAAATAAAAATAATCCTTCAGAGTGCCCTTTGCATCATGCCCTGAAGAGGAAATCTCATCTAAGGACAATAATACACTAAAAATCCAAGTCTTTTGTGGTTTCTTCACTCAGGATTCAGGATTAAAGATTTATTTTCAGAGGAAGTATCACAGCTGAAATATTTATGAATTATTCTGGACATTTATCTCAGCATATCTGAAAGTGCTTTTTGAAAATGCTCTAAAATGAAACATAAGTAAGAATTTAAACACTCCACCTCCACAAGCAAGGAGTGAAGACAGGTCTCTAAAACTGTAATTTCAAATTTCAAACATAGGAAAAGTCTATGCAAAAAGAAACCACAGAGTTCCTTTAGGAAATAAAAAAATAAAGTTTTGGTAAAGGAGCAAAAACATTTTTTTTTAATTGTTCAGTCAGACAAAACACAGAGATAAAGCTGACTTTAAATGCTCACATTCTGTGACCATAAACTGGGGGAAATGAACCCTCTGGTGACTCAGCAGGAATCTGGGAGGACATTACAGATCCTGAGGAGGTCACAAACCAGAACTTTGTTAACCAGAACTGAAACACGTGAAGAAATTGGCTGAACTATTTTTACACACTATCACCAGAGGAAAGCAGTGCACAAAGGCTGCTCTGTGCTGCAGGTTCTCCTCACAGCCTGGAAATGAAGCAGAATCGTGGGCAATTTGCAGTTTCTAATAAAAGGGAAGTGCATTTGGAAACCCAAGGCTCGGTTTTCAAATCTCAACAGTTTAATGACCCCCAATTTAAAGCTGGGGTTGGTTTGGTTTCTTTGACTGTCCCAGCTGCAATTGCCTCTCTGGGGAAATGGAGTGTTATTATGATATTTCTAAAGGGAGCATCGTGTTGCATTCCCCAGCTGGGAAGCAACCTATTCCAGGATTTCCTTCCCCTCGGGGAGGGACAGTTAATGCCAGGCCATTATCTGCTGTGAGCAGGAAATTATGCTACAAGGCTTCAGCTACTTAAGCCTCCTCCTTTAAAGCCCCATTAAGGCAGCCAGGCTGAGGTTCAGCACTGAAGCAAAAGACTCCCAGGCACTCAGGTTTCTGCAAGATGCTCAGGCAGGACAGCTCAGGGTCTGAGGAGAGCAAAGGTGTGCAAGGGAGGGTCTGAGGAGAGCAAAGGTGTGCAAGGGTGTCACTTCTTCAGGAACCTGGCAGCAATTTCAAACTGCACAATTCAGACAAATGGCTCGTTCTGGGACAAAAGCCAAAGGCCCTCTGACAACGTTTTGTGACCTCTCCTCGGGTTTGGGACACACCACGTGTTTCAGGCGTGTGATTTGTTCTCAAAGACACATTTGCCAAATTCTCAGCAGTACCAAGGGGCAGGGGGTTTGTTCTCACAGTATCTAGTCAGGGAATCAAATGAATGTACAATTCATCACAACAAAAACTCAGGGAGGGATGTCCAGTGTTCCTCTGCCTCCCATCAGGTCAGTCTGGGCTCTGCAGGCTCAGGAGATGGGTAGGGGGTACCAAGAAACAATCTCCCTGCTTCCTTGAGTTCTAAAAATATTCAAGCAATGGGAAGTGTAGCCTAGAAAAGTCACTAAATAGAGTTAAAATCAAAGCAGAACAAACTCAGGAAAGCAGAAAATTTACCTTCAGTAAATAAAGAGAACTCTGGTTCTGGGAAGAGTGGAAAACGTATCTGGCATCTTCCTAACCTTTGCATAATTAATAAATCCTCGGAGAAACAGCAGAAAACCTGCAGGGGAGAGAGACATTTGTCCAGTTAACACAGGTGTTGTTTCTTCAAGGAGAGGGAGCAGCTGAACTCTGCCACCACTACAGAGGGATCTCATCACTGGGATGCACAGCAGCTGATCACACACAGGAATTATTTCTGGGAGCAATAACACCTCATCTTTCCATTTCAGGTAACTTCAAAAACAAACTTTCCTTGGGCAATCACAAAACTTTTGACTCCAAACAAGATCCAGTCACTCCCAAAGCAGGAAAAAGAAAATAAAATGACGAAGGGAACAAACCACTCCTCCATTTAAGATGCAAGAGCAGACACTACATCAGTTACTAACATTATTCTCTTCTTAACTTCTGGATGATGTCAGGATGCTGCCACCAAGAACTGGCAGGACAGTGTTTACATGTGCCTTTAAAACCTGCATGTGCTCAGTCACAGGAGTATGAGGGTCACATTTCATCTGGACATGTACACATACATATTTACCAGCCATGAATGCTCACAAAATCCTAACTGACTTTACAGTTTTTAAGCATCTTTTCCCCCACAGACACTCACCTAGTACAAGGAAGACCCACCAAAGCCAGTACTGGCCATCAAAGTAACCAGGAAAATAGGTGGAAAACTGAAAAACAGCAAAAAAAAATACAGTTTAGGGCACATGGAAGTTTGTGAACTGAAGTCTATCCCCACCAATTTTAGCAGTAACCAGATCAGGGCTGCACACAAGAGATCTCATGGGATGCTGCATTTCACCAGCTGCAGGGATGAGTTACCTCCACAAACTCATATTTATAGTTTTTCTGCACCAGCTCCAACAAGGGGAATGGGACAGACTCAACACCCAGCTATGAATTCTGGCAATCAGTGGGGCACAAGGACACTGCTGGGCAAATATTCCTGTTTTAAATTGTGTCCTGGATGCAGCCCAGCTGCAGTTTCTGAGAGGGCAGAGCAGGCTTGCAGCAGTGCAGCACATCCATTACTCTGTCAGGCTGGATGGTGTAAGAGCTGGAAAAGAAATCCCACATCTGTGGAGCCCACTGACAAGATTCCCAGTTAGGCAAATTACTGCTATTAAATGAAAGGCACCAACACTATGAGAGCACTGAAGTTCACAGTTTCAGTATAAACACAGTACCATTCTTCTGGGTTTGTTCTATTCAAACTTCAAACCTAACCAAAGATAAACTTGTTACTGATGTTTAAATCAAATCCACAGAAAATGTCACCTCCTACTGTCACGCCTCTTAATCCAGCAAACAGTCCTTAACACCTCTGAACCAAGATGACCACAACAACTGTCTACAGAAAAGTGAAGAGATGTTGTATTTCCAAATTAGGATTCCCAGAAGACAGGGTAGGAAGTAACAGCTCTGACATGAATGCTCTCAACTTCTACTTACAGCCAGTGAGCTGCTTTGCTTCAAATTCAACTTTCAGCCTGGAACGCCATCACTTCACAGGCTCCAAATAAAGATTTCCTGATGGAAATATTTTCTCCCAATCCCTCAAAAAAAAATATAAGAGCTAAAGATGCTAGAGCAGGATGGCAGCCTGCTCCTGGTCCTGCTCCTGTGCCGCAGGGAGGCTGCACCAGAGGGCAGCCACGGCCTTCTCCCACTGCTGTGCAAACCTCACTCCTCCCACAGCCGTTTCCCTCTCCTCATCAGCCATCCTGCATTTTAGAGAGTTTCCTCATTTCCAGAGGAGAGCCCAGGGCACAGCAGGCTGCAGAGGCTGAAGCAGGGTTTCTTTGACTGGGTGAATGTTTTCCCAGGATCAGAGTTGCTGCTGCTCAGCACAAAACCACACTCTGATCAGGCCAGTGCCTCTGGCAGACACACAGAATGAACCCCAGAATGCCAGAGTGGGTTGGGCTGGGAAGGATCCTATAGCAGCTCCTCTCTTTTGCCACAGACAGGGACACCTTCCACTCCCCCAGGAATCCCTGTCCAGCTTAAACTTGGATACTTCCAGAGATGGAGCATCCCCAAAGAACATCTGGGTGTGCAATCTTTCTTTTCTTTTACTACAGTTGTAATTCCAGCATATAAACAGGATACAATTATGAAAAAGCCCTGTTCTTAGTGAGTAAGTAGCTCAAAAATTATTTCATTATTAAAAAAATCCCCTAAATTTATCACTAACTCCAGTATGAGATAAAAACCTGCTGGGGAAAAAGAGCATCAGTGTCTGTGTACATGGATTTGCACCACACAACTCACCCTGACAATAAGGATCCACTTAATAAGAGACAGACCAAAGCCAGAAATGGCCCCATATCGTCCTGCAGCTGAAGTAGTCAGACAGAAAGACAGGAAAAATCCAATCCAGTTGAAGAGGAATGCCACTGAGAAAGCAGGAGAAAAGCAGCAGGTCAAGACACCTTTATATTCCAAGGAAAAAAACCATACACCCCTTGCACACAGGTTTTTCCTGGTGCTACATAAACATAAATGTGACCCAAACTATTTTGGGTCACTGCTTGGAAAAAAGTTCATTCCATCAGGTACTTACTGAAGAAAGTCAGCATGAAAATGCCATCATTTCCTATCCTCAGCTGGTCAGTGTCATCAAAGTCATCCCGTGTCACAAAGTCATCATCCTGCAATGCAGAGGGAGGCAGCACATGGGGGATTTAGGTCAGTCCAGTCCACACAGCAGCCCCACTTCTGGGTGTGACTCTTCAAAAAAAGGGCTGGAATCCTAAATCTCAAAAGGCTACAAATGCAAGCACGACAAAATTCCTGATTCTCATCCTGAAATGGTGCAGGGCATGAAATGTTATCTATATAATAGGAAATGTATCTTTATTTTTAACATAGTCAAGATCCAGCATGTTCTTGTTCTCACTGTGAAGAATTCTTCAACTCATCAAAAAATTATCATCTCAGCAAGGAATTTGGCTTCTGTGAAGAAGTGTAATGAGCAGTGGACTTCTAATGCTAGCAGGGGTGGAGGGAATGGCTGAACAAGAGATAATGCTGAAAAAACCAAAAATATATCATTCTGACAGAATGGTTTTATCGTCCTTGTATCAGCTACACTGACCTTCAGAAAATTCAACTAAGTAAGCAGCAGGAGTATCAAGGGTAGATATGCCAGACAGCTGAAGAATTAATCTTAAATCTTTTTTAAAAATGAAAAAAAAACAACAAAAACCCCAGTGTCAGTGCACAGGGATACAGCACAGTCCCTCTGTCAGCCTGCCAAGCTAATCTGGCTAGCACATGCTGGCATTACTGAGATGTCTGACATCATCACAGTGCTCAGAGGAAAACTAAAAAAAAAAAAAAATAGCCACAGGACTCAGAAGTGTGGAATATCACCAGCCCAGAAAGCTTCAGAAACACAAAAAGCCCGTCCCAAATGTGAAGAGTCACGAGGGGCAGGAGCTCAAGCTGAAATGGCAGGCAGCAGGGCAGGGACAGGGACACTCACCCTGCCAGGAACCAGGGGAATGGTGGCCTCAGCCTTGGTCCTCTCGGCCTCGTCGTAGCTGGGCAGAGTGGTGGCCACGTTGTAGGACGGCGGCTTCGGGAACCCTGACTCATCCTTGTAGTCAAAGTAAGCTGCACAAAAGCAGTGACACAGGAGGGAGCTCAGCACTTCCCCAGGAACACCACGCTGTGCTCCAGGTGACTTCAACGAGCCCCATGCCTGTTAAAGCCTGTCCCCTCCCCACCCTTCCCTCCATCCCAGCCTCCTGCCATCCCAAAGCAGAGAGGGAAAGGCACAGGAGCACCTTGTCTGATAGCCAGCAACCAGCAGAACACTCACTGAACACGTCTGGCTGTACTTCTGCTTAAAACAACACCACATGCTGTGCCTCTGCTGACTTGGATACTCAGAAATAGTCACGTTTCCAGATCCAAGTGGTTATTAAAGTGATTAGTGACAGGACAGGAGGATGAGTCAAAGTCCCATCCTTATGACCAAGTGCTTAGTTATTGGAAAGTGCAGGAAAAGTGAATTCTTTAAACCCTTTTAAGTAACAAATCATTTAAGGAAGGGGCACAGCATCATCCAAATGCCAGATAATGAGAGGGGAACCACAAATCCTCCCAGCTTTGATTTTTTAACCGTCTCCAATTTACTGAGAACACTGTGAACTGTAACCTGAACACCCCTTGATGGGATGACATCAGACGAGCGCAGCCAAATTGCATCTCCTAAACCACAAGGCTGTGTGGACCAGTCCTGATCCTTGCAGCTTGGGAAGGTGCTGCAGAGCCAGCCGTGGATGAGGAGAGCAGCCAGTGGCAGCAGGGCAATGCCAGCCCTGTCCCCAGGTGACAGTACCTGTGTTCTCTGCAGAAATGCTGCTGTAGGGCGGAGGGGCGTCGTTCACCGCCGGCACGGCCTCGCCCGGCTCCTCTTCATTCTGCAGCTGAACAGAACCAACACCAGGGCTCAGGGGGGTCCTCAGTGCTCTGACAGCACCCCTGCAGCCTTAACTGCACACAACGGACTCTTCTGGAAGGAGAGTGCTCTGCAGCACCACGGGACACAGAGCAGCTGCTCAGCCTCCCTCCGAAGCGCTCCCACTTGAAATGATCAATCTTCCATCTCGGTTTTAATGTTTTCAAATCCTCTCCTCGCACACCTGGACTCCAGCAAAGCACAGCACACAGCTTTCCAGTACCTTTCCATTTCCCTGGCACTTCCTCAGCTCACGCTGCTTAGAAGCTGCAGTTGCATCTGTTTTAGTCAAAGAAATACAGTGAGACACCCAACAAAAGGCTCCATTGCTGCCTGTGGCTTTGCTAAGGAAGGGTTTTTTCCATGGATACATTACATAATGATGCACAGAAGTACAAATGTTGCCATTTCCCTTCAACCTTTCACACTGCATGACTGAAAAGGAGCCGGTTTATTTTGTGCACTGTGCTTCCCACAGCTCTGTATAAATAACCAGGAGCTATCACAGATCCAGCATCACCCGCACGAGGCAGGTGTGCCGTGGCAGCTTTGATCAGGGAAGCAGCAGTACCAGGCCACAAAGGAGGTTACAGCTGCCATCTCATGTTTCCCTTCCATTTCTCACCACCTCAGCAGCAAAAGCACTGAGGTTTTCTGCAGAATAACTCACCTCAAACAAGCACCTCCAGACTGAAGCACTGGGCTGAGCAGGAGGCACTGCCCTCGTTTGAACCACCGCTAAACAATGTCTCCTCCAGCTCTCCCTCCACACATTTGCTCCTGAAGCCATCCAGGATATTTTGCTTTATTTTCTTTGGAGAGACACACTGCCATTCTCCATGAGCATTTAACACAGGGGTGGGGGCGTAGGGGGATGTTCTTATCTTATTTGTATCAGGGGAAAATAAATCAGCTTGCACTCCTAAATACGGATCTTGGATATCCAAGTGTTCTGTGCTTTGGAGTTTTATTCATTTTGCTGCTTAACATAACAGATCACAGAATGGTTTGGGTTGGGCCATTCGTTAAAGCCCATCCAGTGCCACCCCTGCCATGGCAGGAACACCTTCCACTATCCCAGGCTGCTCCAAGCCCAGTGTCTAACCTGGCCTTGGGCACTGCCAGGGATCCAGGGACAGCCAGAGCTGCTCTGTGCCAGGGGAAGTCTATGATCTATAGTCTGCTCCAGGTCACAATACATCCACACCCTCTGTGAAAGCCTTGACTGTGCTTAGCAGATGACAACAAGGGTTCTGCTGGCAGGTCCGAGAGATCAGCTGAGAGGGGGAAAAGGGAGGAAATTACACTGGAAAGCACCAGAACAAAATCAGGAGCACTGTCTGCCAGTCCAGGTGCAGCGAAACAGCAGAGCACCACAGTCCTGCACTCCAGTTCCACGCCAGCTGAAGCTCACTCTGCTCCCCAGCAACATTTCCTAAACAGAACAGGTGGGGAAGAAAAAAAGGGTGCTTGGGTCAGCCCCAAGCTTTGTGGACAAGCAGTCCTCACACGACAACGCCGAACCATTTCCTTGAAGAAGGAGGAATCAGCGATCCGGATGAAAATTTAATCCGTGCTCCAGGGAGCGGCTCCCAGCACAGCTGTCAGCAGGACACAGCCCCAGATGTGAGGCACAGCAAACCAGCCCAGCTGTGAGGCCCTGGGGCTGGAGGTGGCAGGACCTGCCTCACCTGCAGCTTTACGGAGCCCCAGGGCAGGGAGCAGGGACAGGAGGAGCTGCAGCAGCTCCCAGCACAGCGAGGCACCTTCCCAAAGCCTTTCCAAGGAACAAAAACGCCTCATTTATAAACCCCACGGAGCTCAGCACTAGAAATAAATGCAAACTAACTTGAGAAGTATTTGCCTGTTAGAATATGCTTTAATTTTTTTTATAAAAAACAGCATTACTCCAGAAATCCCAAACCACTCTGCACAGAGCACGAGGGGCAATGGAAGGGATGGGAAAACACTGAGTCAAACTCTGCCCAGAGAGGCTGCCCCTGGATCCCTGGACATGGCAGGGGTAAAAAAATATTAAAAATATGATCTTTAAGGTCATCCCAAACAAACCATTCTGTGATTCCATGATTCCCCCAGCTCTGTAGTTTATGAATTCTCAGAAAATGCTCCACCATGCTTATTATCAGTCTATCCATGGAAATTCAGCACTTCTTTTCTCCCTCTGCCTGTGCAGGACCTGGTCTATTAACAGGAGGAAAGGCTCTGTCACAGCTGGGACACTCTGGATTCCATGTGCCCTTTGTTACCTGCTCTCCAGGTGAGGGGGTGGCAGAAATTCAACCCCCCATGTAAGAAAGAAGGCAGGTACAGCCTGAGAGCACAGTCACCAAGGAGGGGGGAGGAAAGCACCACATGTGACAAGACTGGAAGAAATAAAACAAAAGAGGACACAGATATTGAGTGGAATATTAACTCCTACCACTGGTGGTTCTTTCAATAGTAAAAAGAAATACATGTTCTTCCACCAATGTCAGGTGGGAGAAAGCAGCTGAATTCACTGCTGCCTTCAAACATCCCAATTCAGGTAATGGATAATGACACAAAAAATGCAGCTCCTTTGTGAAGTTGAGCTTGAGGCTGTAGGAGGTTGCAGTTATAGAAAACATATTTTTCTTCTAATGGACAAGGTACACAAATGCCTTCCAGCCTTTTTAATGATTCCAGGCATCTAAAATTCAACTAAGTGCCTATTAGCAGAGCAGGGAGGGTTCATGTGACAGGAAGAATGACTCATCAGGCCTCGCTGCCCTGGCCTGGCCCCGCTCCCCCCTGCCCTGCACAGCCCCAGGTATGGACCCCCAGAGAATCCCCCCGAGGCCTCCGAGCCCAGAGAGCCTGCCTAAAAGCAGGGTCTGACTTCAGTCTGTCCTGCTGAGGCTGTGGGATAATTCTTTCCTAGATTCACTGATGGATTTTAGCTTTTCAGGCAAGGTTCTGGTATTCGTGGCATAAAAAAACAAGACAGTCCTTACAGCCACATGTGTAGTTATTGAAACAACAGCTTGGCTGGGATTTTCTCACCAGACTGCTAAACCAACAGAAAGTTAACTGACAGAACACCTAGGGATAATAATTTTTTTTTAAAAAACCCCATCATCAGAAGCCTGGCACTGAGCAGGACATCACCTCTGGCTGCCACCTGCCCTGACTGAGACCCATCCCATGTAAATACACAGCACAGCAACATAAAAGTTGAAATCTGCCAAGCTGTTTGGAAATATTTTCATGTAAACTTGGGGAAAAAAAGCGTTTCCAATAAATATATTGGTTAATTCTTCCAAATTTCTTAAACTCAGCATATGGGCTGCTCACATAGTTTTGAATCTTTATTTTTTAACTCCCCTTTGCCAATTTCTGAGGCTGCATGTAAATACTCTTTACACCAACTGAGCATCACTACACTAAACCAGCATTCCTACAAGCTTGGCCTCAGCAATAGATCACATATCATTACATATCTTCAGCCTTTTGGAAGTAAATTGAAGTCACTGCCAACTCTAAAAAGGAGAGTCATTTTTACTGACTTTTGCTTTACTTAATTAAACACACCCTGATTTAAAATCCTGACTTTTTCCTCGATGTTGTTGCAAATTTCTGTAACTTAATATCAGCTTATTAATCAGCAGGAATAATGATAAGCTACCAGACAAGCCAACCCACACCCTTCAGCCCTCTCCATGATGAGCAAATAACTGTTTTCTCCTGTAGGCTCCTCCAGCCCATTTCCCTGGAGCAGTGACAGCCCCGAGTGTCTGGCCCAGCCCCTGCACTGGCACAGGTGTGCTGAGCACCTCTCAGGTGGCACATGTGGCACCTGTGCCAGGCAAACCCTCCCTGGAGAGATGCTGATGCTCCAGCCCCGAGCAGATCCCAGCCTTGGGAGTGACCTCCCTACACGTGCCAACCCCAGAATTCTCCATGGAAAGGGGGCTCAGGCCTTGGCAGGGGCTGCCCAGGCGGGTCTGGAGTGCCCATCCCTGGAGGTGTCACCTGGAGGTGGCACTCAGTGCTCTGGGCTGGGGATAAGGTGGGGATGGGGCAGAGCTTGGACTCGGTTTTTCCAAACTGAGCGACTTTGAGATTCTGAGATACTCGTGTGACTTTGAGATTCTGAGATACTTGAGTGACTTTGAGATTTAACACAGGCCTGGAAACTGTGCCCCCACTGCCCAAAGCCACTTGTTTCTCCCCAGCTGGAGCAGCTCCCTGGCACCCAGTGGGCACACACGGAGCAGGAGCCAGCAGCAGCATCCACCGAGGGGGGCGACGGCAACGACCCCGCGAGCCACCAAAAGGCAAAAACACCAATCAAAACCCATTTGATGTCCATAAAATACAACCTGTGCTCATGAGGGTGCTGTCCTCTGACTCACTGCAGCCGAGGGCCTGACACCACAGAAGTGCTCCCCAGTCCTGGGAAACAAGCTGGTCTAATTCCCTCGTTTCTGCTCAAACAGGGAGTCAGACTGGTCTGGACAGACTGGAAACAAGCACTTAGGCCAGCACAAACCTGTGCCACACACACTGGCCTCAGACTTGAGAGATCAAGGTCTTAATATGGAAAAATTAGGTTTTAATCTTGGACAGATGTAATTAAATTTCCCACAGTTTAAGCATAAGGCCTTCTCACGATATTTAGAATCCGATTCATATTTTTCTGGACATCAGGGTATTTCAGTAAGATTTCTAAACATTTTAAAATATCACAGTTCTTAAATGGTCATATGAGGAAGGTTAAGTATCTTCCATGGAGAAAAATCCCATTGTACCACCACAGATCAAATTTGGATATTTCACAACAGGCAGGAACAGAATGATTGGACAGCCCTTGATACTGAATTTTGCTCACTCGTCCCCATGACAAAGGATCAGAATTCAGACACATACAGACCTTCTGACCCTTGCATTCTGTATGGTTACTTCTAAGTTATGATGCCAAACCCACAGAAAAAGGTTGCTCATCTCCTGGGACCACTTAACAACCCAAAGCCCTCAGGGATTGTTCCTACAGCTGCTTCCCAATGGGGTTACTGAGCCCCACTGAAATTTAGTTATGAGAGAAAAGTTCCTAAAAAAGCCCAGCTCAGAGCTCAACACCATCCTGATGCCTGAGATAATATTGTATTTTAAAGTTTGTATGCAAAGCTATTTTCTCCTGCTACACAAGCTGTGAGATGACACTGGACTGCTGCTGATTCCCTGCCTTTCCCACATCCTTTGATGTTTAGGGACAGAATGTACTTAAATTCTATAATAACTTTTGCACACAGAATCACTAAACCCTTGCCAACTCACCTGACAGGTACTGTTGCCTGCAGAGGTGGATGTTTCAGAGGAAAATAACCAGATTTTAGTCACCTGAGCACAGCTGAGGCTGGACATGGGGCAGCTTCAGCACAACCTCAGAGCAGAGGCTGCACAAACAATTATACTCTGCAATTTTTCTAATTTTAGTCGGTTTATGTCAATGGCATCTCCTATTCTGTTTACAAATAAAATAAAAAAATACCTACCCTACAACTTTTCTTAGCATTCTTATCCTTAGCCAGCACCTCTTGCACACTGAAAGGACCTCACTG